TTAACTGTCTTGATGTTCTCGAAGCTTCCCTAAAGCTTTCAATTATAATGAAGTTCTCGGTTCTGCTTTAAAATAAATTGAATTCTCGTGTACACCTTTAAACTTCTCTGGAATTCTCTGGATTTCTGTAAAGTTCCTGAAATATTTCTGAAGTTTTCATAAATATTCTGATGGTTTCTGTACTGAATCTGTCGGAACATGTTAATTTCATCGTGGAACTATCTTGAATTTGTCTAAGCTAACGCTTAAAGATGTTTAAACCAATCTTATAGTCTGGGTTAAAATATCGGGGACATCCGCTTAAGATCTCTGGAATTCCCCTAAGATCTCTAAATCTAGTTTATCTGAGATGAATATAACTTCTTAAAAGTTTCCACAATGTTTCTAGTACGAAACTTCAAGACATTAAAAATGTTGTGTTCTTAGAATTACTAAAATGAAGTAAAGCTGTTTCTTTGAAACTAATTGTCATGTCTTAAAAACGTTTGCGTTAATTGTTGTTGTCTTTCAAATCATATTTTAAACGCATTTCATAAATAGCTTTCTTACTATGTATAAACCTGGAAATTATCTGCCAAAGTTATGGAAAAACTAGAAAACTCAGGGAAATTTATTTGGCCAAATTAGTGGACACCCTGTAGATAGAGAAAGACGCTTAAACGTCAAAAAAATATATACAAGGTCGTCAACTTCGAATTGTTAAAAAATTAGAACAAAATCGAAGACAACATATCAAGAAGACTGGCAACTCTTCCATTTTCTTGTACGACGGCTATAAGGCAGGTACAATTGAGTCCAGGGTTGCTTCCACTCACTTGCTATAAAAACATATTTTTCGGAATGATGCAATCATTAGATGATATAATGATCTGCTATACTTGTAAGTAACAAGAAGAGGGTTTAAAGTATGTGTTTGACTCATAAAACCTGTCAATTTTGCTTTCAGAGTGTCACAATAAGCGATCTTATGATTCGTGAGTGTTCACTCAGAGTGAGCACTCACTAGTCATAAAATTGCTGATTGGACGCACTGAAAGCAATATTGACAGATTTTATGTGTCAAACACATACTTCACGTCCTCATCTTGTAACTTACAAGTACTAATTATCACTATACCATCTCATGATTTCATAATTCGGAAAAACATTTTTTTATAGCAAGTGAGTGGAAGTAACCCTGATTTAGTCATCTGCCGCTCAAAGGAAAATGCTTCGAACGAATTTTATAGCAAAGATTACATCCTCAGAAGAAAGGTTTGAGTATTTGCTCATTTTTCAATGCGTTGCTTCCACCTTCCCTCAAGTGTAGCGCTGCTGTATATGTCGCTTGGATTCTGAAAAAGTTGCCAGTCTTCTCTTTTTGCAGGATTTCGTTGGAATGTTCTCAAAAATTTCCTTTAGAATCAGTCTAAAATAAATGTTATCGAACTACAAGCTCGAGCTTCTCAGTCGAGTTAATTTTCAGTTACTTGAAAGTTTATATATGACAATCCCGAAATTCTCTGCAGGACGCTCCAAAAATGAATGAAATTCATACTAAGAGAATCTTCAAAATTGTAATGATTCTTCCAAGAATTTACTAATTCACTTCAGAATCTTGAAATTTAAACTATCTCTTCTCTAGATCAGAGTGACCAAGTGAATTGTCATATTGAGTTTTTTTTTTCGGCGCTAATCTTAAAAATTTCCCGATTGCTCATATATAACAAGAAACGAAAGTGATCAATAAACTTGGGATTTAAGAAAATTTTCATGATTGGTTTCAACATTTGTTAAAAGTTTAGTAGTCTAAATATTCTTAAGATTTGTGCATTATAAAAGTCTTCGTAATCTTAGAATTAAAAAAAAAATAAAGTGGGGGATCTAGAAAAAATCAAGACCCTGAACATTTTTCAAGGTCTTGAAATTTGAAAGAAATTTCAGGGATCTAACAATTTAAAGATTTTTGATAGAATTCTACCAACAAAACCCATAAAAATTAGGGGTTGATTTAAAGGGAATGCAAGGGTTAATACAAAGTAAATGCTGAGGAAGATTCCTAAAAAATCCTGGGAAAAAATCTAAGGGATCACTGACTAGTGTTCAAAAAAATGAGATAGTCCAAAGAAATGAATTGAGATGAATTTCTTGGTATTTCTGGGAAGAATAAAATAAGTTTTGAATGGAATTTCTAGGTGATTCTGAAGCGACTTTAAATCTTGAATGTATTTGAATCTTAAAGAGGATACCAGATTTGAAGAAAAGTAGTAGGAAATGCTTAACGTCAATATCACACTTAAAATGCACATGATGAGGAGATGGTATAGACTTGATATTTCCGTTATAATACGGCAGTGTGAAACATATATATAGAAAGTATAAAGCGAGCAAAGCACAATTTTTAGGAAGATACGAATCGGATCGAACATCCCCTTTACCAAACTCAACCGTTGGTGAGGGGCGGTGAGAGGTATTGCCCCTCGCCACCGCTGGCAAAAGAAATGATCGCCGGTTTCGGTACATAGGAGGTACATAAGCAAATCGGCAAGGATCTTGCCAATGGTGGCGAGGGAAAGTACCCCTCACCAACGGATGAGTTTGATAAAGGGAATGTTCGATTCAATTCTTAACTTCCTCAACATTGTACTTGGGCCGCTTTCTACTTTCTATACACAATTTTCACACACAACTTCCACCCCTCCCGTGACACTTATGAGGAGTCGTAGAGTTTTCTCCGTCGCTCGTGTCCAACTAACAATCATTTATATCCGCACCAGTTGCAAGGAAATGGCCAGAACAGTTCTCGATCATTGGAATTTGTACCGTGAATTAATCCAAAATTGATGTCTAAGTGATAATGAATGCCGACTGGACGTCTATATCTTTTCTATAATAATCTAGGAATTGTACAGCCTACGATTTCTGCAATTTTAATAATGCGAATGCGAAAACGGATTATGTGGAAAATTTAATTATTGTTATTATTATGAGTGATTGTCGGATTAATACTGTGTTATTACATAATAGTTTACTCCATTATCGGCCACGTACATCGATCTCGTGTTATGCCTATTTTTACATTCACATAGATCTCGAAACACACCACACACACAAACATTAGATTTTGCACAATTGAGCCCTGTTTCTGCATGACAATTTATCTAAGAAAGATTTAAGATGCACAATTGGAGCCACGTGATGATTTCCCTGACAACGAAAAGAATTTCACAGTGGCGTCGCGTCCACATGTGCAACCTGTGCACGAGACAGGTGTAATTAATTTAAAAAAATGCGTTTGATTTTTATAGATTTTAATGGTCACATTATAGCTGTACTTCTTTACTCCAGACCACAAGTGACCATGAATACACTATTTTATAGTGTGGTTCAATTAAATCTTCGACCTTGGTTTGCTTCAAAAAGGGTTAAATTCAGTTCGGATGGTCTGCCTAATCCTTAATGCATTGGTTTCTAAGCGTGTCGATAACACTACCATGACAAAACTCGTTAAATAGCGCACCTAAAAGCGACCTTTTTTGGGTGGCGAGTGGCAAGTTTGTGAATGGTCAAATGTCTGATGTAAACCAAACAGACCTTCTATCACCTCTTGAAACATACCACAAATTTTCCACAATACATGGCGGTTTGCACCACTAGTTGTAATTTAAGCTTTCAGCAGTCCCGCGTCAAACGGGAGCAACACGGAAACAGCAGTCTGGTACGCTTTGGACGTTATCATACTTGCAGACCGGTTTGAATGTGTGAGTTTAAATTAGAAGAACATTTGTGATGTATGGGTGCCCAAAGTGTGCATTTCTCGCTGTGCACTTGGATATCTGATTGCAGACAAAAAGAGTAATGGAGAAAGAGAGCGCAAAAGCCGCTCTCACTCTCTTGTCAGTTGTGAATCTCTCAATTATGGATAGTTGCGCCGCCGGTGCGCCTGTCAAAACTTATGAGCTTCCCCTGGTTTATTCTGATAGTGTTGTTCTGATGAATAAAGAGTTGATTAATACAAGTTTGATACCCAGGGGACTATGCATTTTCTCTAGATTTTGACACTGTTTTGTATCAAAAAATGTTTTCGGAACTGTTTGACGGATATTCTTTATTACACTTCAGTCGAAAGAGTTAGCATTGTGATAAAAACGAGAATTCAAGCTGAACATTGCATTAGGTCCTAAGTAACATTGACAGATTATCTCCGTCGACTTTCTCTTTGTATATCCACGGCCATGTAAAGACATTCCCAGGTAGTTTCAGCACAACAATCGATAAAAGATCTAATACGACGAACACAACAAGCATCTAATACGACGAACACAACAAGAAATGGTTATGTGCTCAAGTTATTAACGAAATAGAAAGTCGACGAAGAAAATCGATCAATATTACTTAGAACCTAATGCAATGTTCTGCTGGAATTAGTTAAGTTTTGCACTTCGGTTAGCGCGAAAAGAACCATACATGTTTTGTTTATACATGATGATAAGCCCTTCAAATGTTACGTTAGGTAGTGATTACCCAAGTAACATTGCAAGCTTTAAAGAGGTTTTATAGCATTCTACGAACCTAAATCGTAGTCTACAGAACCCTCATTGTTACTTGGGTAATATAGTAATGGAGAATATGTCCCTTGAATTCATGGAGCATTGACAAATAAAACAAAAACTAATATGTGGTGGAATACTATAACAAACAAAGCTTGGTGCACAGGTAAACAAATGAGGCACGCGACGCCTCTGAATTTCAAGCATCAACATAAATGGACTGATGCATTCCGCTCCGGATTCCCATTTATGATGTGCGATCCTGTAACGATCGACAACGCGAACAACCCTAGCACAGATATTAAAATCAAGGGAGTAAATCAAGATATCCCAATTGCTTTCCATAGCAACCAATCAGAGATTGGTTTGACGAAGAATTACAGAACTTTTCCCGCAATGTGCAGCGTTTTCGATGCGATATTACAAAACATTTTCAAAATTTGTAGAACAATCAATCAATTCATCACTTACCGGTGGTGGAGGACGATACGGTTGCTGGGCACCCATCTGCGGACTGTAGGGACGGGGTGGTGGAGCCCATCCCTGCTGGTGTCCCCCGTACGGCTGCGGAGGCTGCCCGGGTGGCGGTTGTTGCTGTTGACCCTGCTGTTGTCCCGGTTGACCCGGACCCGCTGGTGGCGGCTGCTGAGGTTGGTTCGGGTCGTAACTGTTGGGATAGCGATGCTGGGGGTGCGGCGGCGGTGGTGGATGCGATTGAAGCAACGAATTGAGAGTCGGTGTGGGACCTTGCTGTTGTTGCTGTTGACCCGGATGGCCGGGATGTTGCGGTGGTTGTCCCGGACCCGGGCCTTGCATGTAACGCTGCGGAGGCGGTCGATTTGGAGGAATCATGGAACCAGGCTTTCCGCCTGGCGCTGCACCCATTCGATAGTGGGCGTACGGGTCGGGACCACCAGGTGGCATGTTGGGGTCATGGTGATACCTAGGGTACTGTTGATGCTGCATCGGCGGTTGACCGTACATCTGGTGCTGGTGATGTTGTGGATGCTGCTGGTGCATCGGATGATGCTGGGGGTGATGATGCATGTCATCTTTGTTGTTGGTGTTGGGGTCCGTAGGACCGGCATTACTAGTAGGCGGCATGTGATGTCCGGAAGATTCGTAAGGATGCATCCCAGGGGCATTTTCCGAACCGGGATGCGGCGGATGTGGCGGACCGGAGGCAGGCGAAGATGCTGGAGCTGGACCACCGTTGCCTCCGGCAGCACCGGTCGCTGGAGATTTCGCTTTCTCGCCACCCATTATTGGGCCACTTTGAGGATTCTTTCCACCTTGTTGAGTATCGGTACCATTATGTAAACTAATTGCTTTGTTTGTCTGTTGATGATCAGCACCTAAATCATTACTTTTGCCTATACTTTCATTGATTTTAGTCTGTTTCTGCGCCATCGTATGGTAGCGCCTTTTAACTCATTTTGCCTCACACTCTCCTTCGCGCGGTTTCTTCAATTCACTGAATATTTTAATATTACCCGTCACGATCTCGAATGATAAATGAAGATTATTACTCCAACTGGAAGCCGAGAACGAAGGAGGTGTCGTCTTCAGCTACTAGCTTTGCACCACTCAAAACATTCCACGCGATAATTACACACTAATTTCGAACGCACACAAATCCACTCAAACCTCGTCCCAAACGACTTCTAGTTTACTTTATTACTTTGTTTAGCAACAACAATTCGCAATTTCCGCTTCGAACCTCTCCGTCATTCCTTCTTCTTCTGGTTCTACTTGCTGTTGCCGTTGATGATGTTTCACCTTAAGCACTACTAATCTCGAATCTCATTTCTCATTCGCCTGTTAATCATCTGCGGGCGATACCCACATACATACACACGATTTTCGCGATTGAACCGGATGAAAATAGAACGAAAAAAAAAAACAGAACACTTGACGCACACACGTGGGCTCGCGGAACACAACCAAAACGAAGGAAAATAAACCCCGAAAACTTACTAACTAACCAAAAAAAGAAACCGAACTGGAACCACCGGAGGAACACACTAATTCGGCAGCTCTACTCCTTGAGCATTCATTCTATTCACTAATTTTCACGTACATTTTTTTTCTCTCTTCTAAAATTTGCTTCTATCTTCTTTTGATCGCAATCCTCCGACAACTGCTCCTCTTTCGCCCTAATCAGAGGCACACATACACACACAGGGTGATGACTTTTTTCGCTCTCTATCTCTCTCCCTTATGAAGAAGAAACAATTCGGCCTGTAATGAGAAGAGAAGAACAGTAAAAATCGGTCCAATTATTATGCAATTTTGATTGCCATCCTCGCTACCCCGGTTTGGAATCATAATTGTAGTAAGTTTTGTTATTCAGGTGAGGGGAGCTTGTTCGTTTCTTAGAAGACGGGCATAATTATAAGCGGAATGAGAAAGGGAATGTTGGGATATAGTTTAATCGCTAGGTAACCTTTATTGTTGAGAATGTAAGAGTGATTTTCGACCTTTAAGAAAGTCAAAGTTTAAAAATTAAAATGTTTGATTTACAAGAAACATTCTTCCTCACTTACACTTGAAACGATTACGAGTATCATTGTGCCTGCCATACAATATACAAATGCGTTGGTTGGCATGGAAAGCTCTCAACTATAACTGTAGAACTGCTACAAAAACAATAAAATGAGAGCCGACGAAAGCTCCTGTAAGAGCGTCAAAGCCAGAAAGGAGTAGAATTACCGTTTAATATTGTTGTATTTCAATTGTTTCAGTTTCCTTCATTTGCTGCGTAATTTCAAGTAATTTAGCCTGAAGGGCTCTTCATCTTTATAAATTGGTTTCGTTCGAGATGAGTTTAGTTGTATGGGAATTCTATACATAGCCCCAGGCATTGCAAATCATTTACATTCATTTGCCTCTATCATTTTTCATCAACAGAATTTCGTAAAATGATATAAAGCTTTTGTAGGTTTTGAAATTAGCTACAACTTTTGTGAAGAACTTAAATCTGTATCTCTTATGCATGAAGAATCAGAGCGAACAGTAATGTGTAAATTTCATTCATTAAAAAATAATAACAAACAGTGATGGCATAATCATTAGCAAATTGATATTTTTCCGCTCTCATACGCGCTCAAGATCACGCGTGATATTGTAACAAAATATCATGCTTGATATTGATTCTATAAGCTCCTTTGATATTGCGAGACTATTAATAACGTGTAAAGTTAAAGCTGAGAGTTGAATCGAGGCAAAAATGATTCTGCAAAAAAATCTAGTGTACTCGCCAACTAGTACGAATTTCAGTTGCTCCTGAAATATACATTATGCTAGTGAGCTTTTTTGCTAGCAGCTAACTCATTAGCGCTAGTGAAATAGCATAAGTGTAAACACCCCATTAGGAAGAGAAGGTATAATAACGCTATCTCTTTTTTCTACTCACCGATGGCAGACACGAAGCGACTGCTGCCAGCCGTTATGGATGTTTCGGTTACGTTCGGGTGTAAAGCAAAAATCATGAAACTCAATCTCACCACAGTTTGGTGAGATTTGCAGCTGGTGAGTTTTGCTAGCTTGATATTCTGAGCTGCGATATCACAGCTTGCAATATCAACCGCAGTTGTTTGCTTGTTGAGTTTTGTGTACGAAAATCAGGCGTGATCTTGATCTTTGGTGAGATTTTATTTTTTGGTTATTCCCCAACACTGATAACAAGTTCTACCCGCTCTAGTTCGTCGTGCACAAGAGGTACAGATTTGAGTTATTCACAAAAGTTGTAGCTATTATCAAAACATACAACAGTTTCACAGATCATTTAACGGAATTCTGTTGATGAAAAATGTTAGAGGCAAATGAATGTAAATGATTGGCCATACCTTTAGCCAAAGTTTGTTCATTTGACAACCTACCTAACTATCCTTACTTCACCTTAAGTGTCAGTTCCTTAACGGCTTGCTGACCGGATCGCCTACCTTTTACGTTCTGCGTTCCAGCGAGGCAGTTGACCTCAGAATTTCGAGTCCACGGAGGATGATCCTCAGGATCTTGTTCTGGGTGCTTTGTAGTTGCATTACCTCAAAGTTTAGCATTTAGCACAACTCTCCCAGGTAGGATTATTTGTTTGTAGACAGCCAGGTTGTTTTTCAGGGATGAGGAGGAATTACCGTTGATAAGCGGGTACAATGTTCTTGATAAGATGTTGCACTTGATGTTAATTTTGTCAATGTGGTCCCTGAAAATCAGCTTGGTATCTAGTGTTATTCTGAGGACCATTCCATTACTGCACCGTTTAAGCAGATCTTGTTATTCACAGAAAAATGCCGATCTGGGTCTTCGCCGCGTTGATACGTATCATCCAGATGTTGAAATACTCAGACAGAACATTCAAATCTCTTTGATGTATGGCTGTCAGAACCAGATGTGGTAAATGTAATGTAAATGATATGGGGAAAAATGTCACGACACTTTTCGCCCATACGTTTTCACAGTGAATTTTGTTTTGTTTTTTTAAAGTTTCGTTACAATCTCTGGTCACAGTTCCGATGACGTTTCCCTTGAAGACGATGGATACGATGGATCATCTGCGAACAGAGACTACGTACCACCATCTCGGAGAGATTGAACAGGATGGGCCCAAGGATACTTCCTTGAAGTGATCTGATCTGATGCCATTGAGAGGGACTTGAAATGTCCTTAGTATTGGATAATCTGCAGAAGGAACATTGGAAGACCGTATCGTTGTAATTTATTGTCACGCGCTTTTTCAACTTCTAAAAATGCCATTGGTTTGTAGTCAGTGTAGGTAGGGTTTTCGCTCACTACTCCTTTGCGACTAGACTACCATGCGTCGTGACCATGTTTCAGTCGCTATAAATCAAGGGAGACGCACGGTAGTCTAGTCGCATAGGAGTATTGAGCGGAAACCCAAAACTTGATAACTTCAAAAAAATATAACTAGAAAACGAAAAAAAAACATCGCTGATTTTTTGATATGTTGGATCAATTCTCCAGGACGACTTGGAGCACTTATTATGCCTTGTTTATGCTATTTTGTATTTCATATAAGGTGTTTATGCTCTACAACTCCAGAAATATTTCGACGTTCTAGACACACAAAAAATCGTAAAATTTTTAAATAAACCTGAAGGAAGCGAAAACATTTGGAAATTTAATCAAAATTCATCAAATGATTCTTCAAAGCAACAGAATCCTGAAAATCCAGCGTAGTCTAAGGGCATTGACAATTTTCCATTATCTTATTTTTGAACGGGAGAGAGACATTATCTTATTTTTGAACGGGAGGGAGATTACATTTTAAATGAGTTTTGTTATACAAAAAATATATAAAATATTGTGCAAATTAACGCTAAATCTAGCGTCAACTACGTGTGCGTTTCATGTCGCAGAAATTTTTCGCGTTTCAGGACAATGTCATGGAGAACAGGTCGTCAGATGAATTTGTCGTCTCTTCCATTCTCCCGCTGTTAAAATGTAGTGTAGTGTGACGTCAAACACTTTATCTAGTGGGGAAATGAAAGAGATGAGAAATTCACATTGCCGGACCTGTTCTCTATGACATTGAGTTCAGAGGACGTTTGGACGAGGTTACTTCTATATCCAGGATTTTCCAACATATATAGACTGGATAGAATAAACAAAGGGACGCCATGTTCTGATTTAATTTCACAGTGACGTTTCCTTAACCTCAATGTACCTGTGCACTAACTCTCAAAACATAAAAAAATATCAGAATATTATGAAGAGCTTTGAGTGTGTTGCTTATCTTTTGGCAGATCCGCGTATTTCGTCTACTACTTGCAGACTTCATCAGTTATATACTAATCAATAGGTACTAAAAATCAGTAGGTTCCACTGCCATGTCACAATTTACAATTGTTTAATTATTTCTAAACTTTCTGCTACGTCTAGTTTCCAAGGCGAAAATACACTCCGCAGGATACTAATGTTATCGTTTGTTAAATTGTGCCCCTTTGTAAAGATATGTTTTTTTTTTTTTTTTTTTTCCTTGGATTTGTTTTCCGTCGATCTTGTTTTCCGTGCTGAGCACCAATGCTCCCGATGCCAGGAAGGCAGCTCCCACACCTGGACCCTACCTATCGACCCATCAACTCATGAACCGGGGACCAACGGCTTTACTTCCCTTCCGAAGGAAGGCGTGATCAGAGATGTTATGCCTCAGAACATCCCGGCGGCGCCGACTGGGATTGAACCCAGGCCTGCTGGGGTGAGAGGCAATCACGCTTACCACTACACCACCGGCGCAGCTATAAAGATATGTTCTGCAACCTTGGATTTAAATTCATAATGAAGTCCTTTATCCATCTCTCTAGCCTTTTTACCTCTGCGATGTGTTCCTTAAACCTTGTTTCCAAAGTCGTTTTCGTCTCAATAATGTAGATTTCATTGCAATCTGGACAAGAGATTTTGTAGACTCCGGCTTTCCCTAAGACATTTATTGAATTTGTTGTTGATCCTAACAGTGACTTCAGCTGATTTGTCATGTTGCTAAATACTAAATCTAGGCCTAAACTTCTGAACTTCAAAATCAATGGTTTGGTAATGTTTTTGTCGAAATTCACCGCTACCCGCTTTAAACCCTCAGTTACTGGTGTAAAAGTTGTCGAAATACGCCTAAAATGATCCCTTGTTCTTATATCTATTATTGATTGAATTGTTTTTTTTCTTGATACCCCTTAAGACTAGCGATTTCAAAAATGTGAGCTATTGCCTTTGATTTTCCTGTATCGCTAAGGGGAAGAGTTTGCATCCTGTGAACCATGTTGTGAAAAGCGGCCATTTTGTGATGATAGGAATGGTCAGTGATGCAAAATATCATGACACTTACGTGACACTCGTCTTCACATCAACCGACTATCACTGACAGATCGTTTTGTCACGCAGTGAGAGTTAGAGCCATGGCAATCAACAATCACCAGTAATGGTCGCTGCTCACAAGCGAAACGTTACACTCGCTGCTGATGATGAAAAGCACAACGAAAACAGTGAAGACTTCTGCAGTACGATCATGAGAAAAAGCGAAACGACAGAAGAAAATGAAAACAATGCCTACGCATTCCAAGCTCGTCTCGGCAGGCGCGACTGTGTGAGTTACAAACAAAGCAGGCAACATGAAACTGAAGCTGTTGGGCTCACTCACCAACACACTCACATAAGCAAGCAAAGCAGCAACTGCTTGAAAACGAGCACAGGTGAGTGTCGTGATTTTCGGGAATGACCAGATCGGTGAT